GCGCCCCGGCCGGCGCCATCCCCGTCGCTGAGCGGCGCCATCGAGCTCATGTGGACGGGAAACTGGGACCTCTGCCAGGCCGCCGCCGACACCGTCCTCCGCGGCGACTCCCTCCACGCGCTCTCCGCCGTGCCCGCCGCCTTCACCGACCGCGACATGGCCGGCCTCTACGGCAACGTCGGCGCCGCCGCCGGGAGCTCCTCCTCCTCGCCCGAGAACGACAACTCCTCCGCCTCCGCGCCCCGGAGGAAGCGACCCAGGAATAACGTCGCCGGCGGCGTTGGCCAGCAGCAGCAGTAGGCCGCCGCCGTGTGCGTCTGCCAGCCACCCTCCTGCAGCGAGTGAGCAAGGAGAAGAGAGAGAGAGAGAGAGATGACGTGGACCCTGACATATGGGGCCACGTGGGTCCCACGCTGACTCAGCCGCTACGTAGGACAAAACCGGGATCAAAACCATCAAAGGACCTATTGTGATCGGTTTTAATTAATTAAGGGACGTCGGATATCTGGTTTTGCAGTTTGAGGATGTTTTTAACTTTTTATAACTCGATGACAAGTTTAGGGACCTTCGGTGTACTTTTTCCGGAAGAGAATGGAGGTGCATCAAAGCCCAGCCCAGCACTATTATCATTTTTCTTCAAGAGAAGCGCGTTTATCAATTATGATCACTTTTGAATTCTGCTTCTGCCTATTATGCATGATTTTCCAGTTGCGTATTTGTTCCATCTCAAAAGGTAGAAAAACATTATTGTGATTTGGGCCAAAAATCCAGGCACTAGCAGCACTGAATGCCAATTTAGCACCTATTCAGCAAGGACTAGATTGGGAAGGCCAATTATATAAGACAGCAGAGTACAACCGATGCCAGTTCAAAGGAAGGCTAGAGGAGTGCAGCGTCAAGATGAGCATGCTAGTTCTCAAAAAAAAAAAAAAGATGAGCATGCTTATTGGCGCATGACATGAGAATGACTAGTCCATCAATGTGAGGAATTAAAGACAGAGGGGGTGGGTGAGGGGGTTTTTGGGTGAGTCCCTCCCTAGAAACTTATTTTTTTTTGTGAGAGGGACACCCAAACACCACCTGAATCAGGGGTGTCAGTTAAGGAGGGTATATAGTTGCAGTGGTTGGAAGGAGGCCGTGGAAATATGGAGGAGGAGAGAAGGAAGGAAGGTCAGTTCACACTAGGTTCGTTCGAAGGTATGGGTTCAGAACCCTTCCTTCTAATATGTAGATGTGTCGTTTGGAGCAACACAAGCCGAAAAGTCTAGTGGTCAAATACACACACCTCCAGCATGCTGGCCAACATGAAATCAAAATTTCCCAATTTATCTTATGATATGTACTGCTAGGTACTAAAAAGAAAACATCTTAAGTCATCCAGTTTGTAAGGTTGAGAGAGGTGGCTGAGTGTTTCTTCTAGTTTCCAACCTCCACTCCTATGTTTTCCGTGCGTATACTTGCCAAATTACTAAATTGTTTATTTTTAAAAAATATATAGGAAAGTTACTTTAAAAAACATACTAATCCATTTTCATGTTTTTTTAATACTTAATTAATTTACACGTTAATGTGCTGTCCCATTTTACATGCCGAAGTAGAAGGTTCCCAACCTTTACAATCAAACACAGGTTTAAACCCAAGCCAAACTTTAGGTGATAAATCGGCGGGTATTTTTCTTGTTGGAGTTCAGGTGTTTTTCTTGCTGATTATTACTGGATGGAAGTCACAAAGGATGTTTCATATCTCTCAGTTTATCTGATTTCGATTTGTTCTCTGTTATATAAGGTTTTCTTCACTTTTGTTAAGTTATGATATTACTGTGCTTTATCTCCCGACTCCGATTCTTCTCCCCAAATTTGGTTTGAGTTGTACGTGGAAAATAAAGTTTTAAAATTTACAGATAATTCATGCCAACGAATCGATCTATCGATTGTTTATTTTCCTGCTTAGAGACAAGATTCTTTTGTTGAGGTGTATAGGCCACGTACTATTCGTGATATCTATATCGAGGTTTTGTTCCACATCCATCTGATAATTTGACATAGAGAGAGCTAGACCCACCCAAGTCTGCTGGTTTAGGGTGTGTTAAGTTCTTTGGGTGTAAAGTTTTTAAAGCATACGGACACATATTTAAAGTATTAAACGTGGACTAATAACAAAACAAATTACAGATTCCGCCTGTAAATTGCGAGATGAATTTATTAAGCCTAATTAATCCGTTATTTGCAAATGTTTACTGCAGCATCACATTGTCAAATCATGGTGTAATTAGGATCAAAAGATTCGTCTCGTAATTTACATGTAAACTGTGCAATTAATTTTTTTCCCATATTTAATGTTTCATGTATGTGTTCAAATATTTGATCAAAATATTTTGAGATCTAAACGAGGCCTCAGATGCAATATCAATAGCGGCCGTCCAAACTTGTGCAACTCACCGAATCCCCTCAAGGATAGCTATTATTCGACGTGCTGCAAACCTGCAACCAGCGCCTCATCCTCTGCCTGCAAGCTGCTGCCTGCTCTCTCGTCCCAAAATAAATCAACTTAATATATGATGTGAAATTTTCAAGTATAGTAAATTTAGATAGAGATATATCCAAATTCAGTGTAATGTGAAATACCTTATTATATTTTAAATTTATTTATTTTGGAAGGAAGGGAATACAATGTCACCAAGTTCCATTTGTTTTATTTGGACTTCTTTTTTTTTGCAATCTTTAATTGGACTTCTTGATAAGAGCTTAGGGCAAGTATTATAAGCATCCAACCACAATCTTCTGGATGCCACATAAGTTTACATAGTGAGGTGGAAGAGAGAAAAAGATGAGAGAGAATAGAGATAATAAGTCACCCTAGACAACCTCTACACCAAATTCAAGACAAAAGAAAAGAGAGTAAGAGTAGACTGGCAAATAAATATTGGAGTAGTGTACATGTTGCATTTATATTTATGAGTCGATGATACGGTCAAGATTAGAGATAGCACCCATCTCTCTTAGAGCAAGATCAATAACAAAGCCAATTGCCGGCTGTAATAGGTGGGCACATCATCTGCAGTAAACATTATAGCTAAGATATATAATAGAGAATCATATGCTTACTGTAACATAAATATTTTTTTTATTTTTATGGCCTCACCATCTTTTCCCTCTATTTTCTTTATTGTTCCATCCTTCTATTTCCGAGTTCTCTTTTTTCTCGCTTCTTGCCGGTGAGGATGGGGCAGTGTCCCTATGCATGGACGCAGGTGAGAGTGAGGGAGATGGTGGCGGTTGCGGTGGACACGGGTGACGATGCCGGCGAAGACGATCTAGTGTACACAAGCTATGGCGGCAGCCGCGGAGGACAAGGACGACGAACGTGAGCGAGAGACAGCAGCTGCGAGAGAGGAGGGTGGGATGGGCGCAAGAGGTGGCGATGGCCGCGGTGGACAAGGTCAACAGTCGCGATGACGTGAGCGAGGGCCACAAGACGGACAATGTTGAGGATGGCAACGTCGGCATGACGGATGCGAACGACGGTGGCAGCCATGGAGGGAGAGGACGACGAGATGGACGCAGGCGATGGCAGTAGCCGCAGAAGACAGGGATGGCGAGAGGGACGCAGGCGACGGTGGTTGCCGCGGTGGAGGCAGGAGAAGACAGAGGGATGGACGCGGGCGATGGCGCCGGCCGTGGAAGATGAAGATGGCGGGCGCAGCGGATACGAGTGAGGACGGCAGGATGGACGCGAGCGACGGCGGCGACTGTGGAGGATGAGGATAGATTTCACAACGGATGCAAACGAGGACGGTAAGAGGGACGCGGGCAACAGCGGTGGCCGCGTAAGACGAGGTCGATGGCCACAGCAAAGGCGGGCGAGGATGGCGGGATGGACGCGGGCAACAACGGCGGCCGTGGAGGACATACGAGGACTATGGTGGCCGCGGGTGAGGGCAGCGGGATGTACGCACGCGAGGACGGTATCACTTTCCTACCATTGCTACGGGCCCCATGACCTCGGGCTGCCCGCCCGTTCTCTCTACCTTCCCTTCTCTTCTCTAGCGCAGCAAAAAATTCTACATGGATCTCATACGGTTTATTATTGTACCTGCTCTTATTATAAAACTTGCCCTTAGGCCACCGTTAATGATTCTAGTAGAAACAAAGCAGGAACCAATGTTTGTCAGCCCTAGAAGATCCGAATAAATCAAGCTCCGCCCTGTTGGCGAACCCACGCCGCACAAGTTTACTTTTGCCCACTTTGAGATCCTTTTGAACCTTACCACTTTCGTTCTATCACTTTTTCTAGTTACGGTCTCTTTTCAGTAACTCGAAACTGAAAATGATGCATCGAGCTTCCAGCTATAAATAAAGCTACTTTTTCTGTTTTTGTTTATTTTTCTCCTCGGTTTTATAATTTATACACGTAAACCTTTTAAAAAGCTCCAATATAGTAGTTCTGCGTGTACACGGCAACATCGATGATCTGTACAAGTTGTTGTTTTCCTCTATATCCTCGCCTTTTCCTGGATAAGAGCAATAATTTATGTTCTTGGATGCATATGCATGAGATGAGTGTTCTCTTGCTTCTGGGAAACACACTGTTGTACGCACACTGCACATCGTTTGCGCAGAGTTATTACAATTAGATTGTGCGTTCCAGAACTAGAGACTTCTTGCGTCAGTTGTTCAGATTTATCAGCATCCACATTTTGTTCCTGACAATATCTTGCTGGTAGAGTTTTGGCCTCAAGTACTCCTAGAGAAAGTTTTCTTGATTAAACCATAAATAAAACGATAAAGAAGAAACAGTGTTGATCCTTCTGACTAACTCAGATCAAAGTGCCTATTAGTTGCTGCTCAGATCAGAAACATTATCTGTTCAGAAGTTGCTGGCTGAATTGCTGATGCAAAGCAATCACCGGTAAAAATTTGCAGAACAATCTATCATTTGTAAAGAGACAAGCTGGCTTGAAATGACATGTGGCTGCACATTGTTACCGACACACAACCAGATGATCCAAAGTGAACATATAGTATTTCTTTGGCACGAAAAAATTTAATCAGCAGATCCATCTATTTGTAGTAGTACAACTGTACTGGTGCTTATTACTTGCCCATGTTTTACAGTTTGGTACAATTTTTTCTTATACCTGATCGATACATAAATCACCAAGAGAGAGAAGTAAAAAAAATAAAAAATAAAAAATTAAATTACAGAAACCACAATCAAATTACCCACCTAGTGTAAAGAAAGACATAGGTTTAACTCAGCAGATCTATCCCATTCTCAGTTCTCACCACAGTAGGAGCCCAGTGAGGAGCAGCGTGAATGTCGCCGCCGCCGCCGACGAAATGGCCGACACGCCGGCGACAGACGAGCCGCTGGAGTAGAACGGCGGCGGCGGGCTGTAGTAGTAGAATGGGAAGTAGGGGAGGAACGGGTTGGGCGGCGGCGGTGTCGGGTAGGCGCCGCCTCCTCCACCGCCCTGCTGCCAGCCGCCACCGCCGCCGCCGCCTCCACCGGTGGGCGGGGGGTAGTAGATGCCTCCACCGCCGGTGCTGCTGCCGCCTCCACCGCCGCTGTAGGGAGGTGGCGGCGAGGTGTACATGACGGTGCCTCCGCCTCCGCCACCGCCTCCGCCGGAGGGGTAGGAAGGTGGCGGCGGGCACTGCGGCGTGGGGGTGACGACCGGCGGCGGGGGTGGCGGGTAGTAGGAGGGGTTGCAGGGGTTGTCGCAGGAGGCGCAGAGCTTGCAGGTGGTGCCGTCCTTGAGCACGATGGTGGTGGCGCCCTCGTCGTTGGGCGGCGGGGCGGCATTGGCGAGGGCGAGGCTCGCCGCGAGGAGGAGGAGGAGGAAGAGGTGGAGCGCCATGGCGAGGAGAGAGTGAGAGAGACGAGGGGGAAGGTGGTGATGGGGATGGGAGTGGGAGTGAAGTGGAAGGAGGGGGGGGGGGGGGGTATTAATTTGGTGGAGGTAGCAGCGCAAAGCAAGGTGGCGTGGTCGGCTGCTGCTCTCTCCTCCTCGGCTCAGCGATTGCGCTCTTGTTTTTTTCCTCTCCATGTTTGTGTAAAGAAATGGTGAATTGGAAGGGAAGATGACTCGACGAGTAAAAAAAACCAAGGAGCAGTTTCTCACGGAGCAAACGCGTACGCTAACGCTAGATGGCCTTTTCTTCTTTTTTTTTTTCGATCGTCGTGGTACAATGCGTGCACGTGAACATGTACAACAACCATCGTCAAAGAGGATAGGAAGAACGACATACTACTGCAGTACTAGTGCAGTAGTGCTACGCATTTCCGCACTTTTTACTCTTCGTGGGATCCGTCCGGGCAGTTGGATCCTTCCAGATCCATCCGCGTTCGTTCACATTGACTCTGGCCTTGGCCTTACTGCGTCTCACACACTCTCATGTGCGCTCCTGCTGGCAGGCAGCAACGAAACACACACACGACGGGCACCCGCACCAGCACGTGTCGGCCCCGTTCCGCCGCCCCATCGGACGTCCTACCACCACCACCGGTTGGATTCTTGTGCAGCGGCGCGGCGCGCGTACAAGCGGCCGTGCACGGTGAACGAGACGGGAGCACGCAGCGGCGGCAGGGGGGTCAGTTTCCACCCGGAGGAGGCGGAAGCTGCGTGGAGGTGTCGACTCGAACGCACGCAACCGTGCACGCACACCGCTAGATCGGACTCATCAACCCCGGCGTTTTCCACATGCGTGCGCACGGGTACTCTCGCTCGGGCGGCCGCTGTATGGGCGGCGGCGTTGGCCCCGCGCGCGTCAACTCAGTAGTCAGCTAGCTCTCGTGGCTGGATCGGATCGGTCGCCGCCTTGCATACCGACCGTTCGCCGTGAGGAGAGATCTGCGTTCTGCAATTCTGCACGCATGAAGTAGCTACAAGTGGGGAGAGGGAATAGTTAATTGGGGTGATATAGGTTGATCTGCAACGACGGACACGAGCAACGGCCTGATGCATATTTCCGCGGGTATCCACATGCATGCGTGATGTTGAAGTGTTTGTGTTTAGCTTAACTGCCACTTGCAGCTTCCGTCCATTTTGGGATTGCATGTCTGTGTAGTAGTACTCCGTGGTAGTACTAGTACTAGAATATTTTGGTTGTTGGGGAATGGCAAATTAAAGCACGAGTTGTGGACGGTTGAAACACGGTCGGTCCGAACTCTGAACATGCCGTGAGCCCGCGACGCGGCGTGTCAACACTAGCCAACAATCACTGTATCCATGCAAAATTTGTCACTTGCCTACCCAAATTGTACCTGTGATCTGTCGAAGCTATAGGTTGTACCCTTCTGTAGTACTGATCAAAAGCAGGTTTTCCTCCTCCAGAAATAATAATCACGTCGTAACAATACTAAAAGAGGGAGGATGCACTAATCTTTCTGCCACAGCTGCAGGTATCCTCTCTCTCTCTCTCTCTCTCTCTCTCTCTCTCTCACAGTAGCTCTTTACACCTCAGAGATCCATCATGATACGAACGAGCGATCCCCGCCTTCCAGAAGACACATTGCACATGGGGGGCAGTCAAGCAAACTGATCAAGCTGAGGGCGCAGACAACAGAACATACTACGGAGCAGCCAAAAATGACAGGCCGGCCAGCCACCGCTCTGCCCACTGCCCTGCACTGCACAACAACCCCCACCATCCCAATCAAACTCAGTTGAGGCTCAGCCCCACGCCGTGGTGCGTGTAAAACTGGTAGAAATCGCCGAACGGGCTGATCCGCTGAGGCTTCGGCCGGAGTAAGGTGGCGATAGTGGTAGTGGGGTTGGTGGTGCGGTGCCTGAACCGGAATCTCCACGCATGCCTGTGTCACTGTTTGTGTGATGGTCATACCTGTGTCACTGTGTGTGTGTGTGACGGTGCGTTGGGCCCGCAGCTCGGTCAAACGTTGTGTTGTTCGGTCTGTTTGATGGTCGGGGGGAGCGGACGGACGGTGCGTTTGGTTCGGTAGATTAGTCTGTGGATGTAGGGTAAAAACGGTACGGAAAAGGGAGGAAAGCATATTTATCGTTTTCGTTTTTATTTTTTTTAATTGGAATTGGAAACCTCGGATACGAAAACGAAATCAAATATTATCGAAATCGAAAACGGAGATAAAATAAACCGGCGCGAATACGGTAACGAAAATTTATCGGAATAAAAAACCCCTCAAACTGATAAATCCAATTCTCAAGTCTCAACGGTCAACAATCTATCTATTATATCTATAAAGTAATAAAAAAAGATCCTCCACGTCCGCTCTCATGGTCTAGAAATTCTCACATTAATAAAAAAAAAAGAAAAATAGAACTAGATTAGGATTAGTATTAGTTAAAAACTGAAGAAAGGAAAAAAAAAGGCATACTAAGATACTTGAATCGGACAGCAGTCAAAAACTTTAAAAAGGAAAACCAAATCATATTATACACTGGAAACAGATAATGTTATGAGAATCCGCGTGTTCACACCGCTTTTAGAAACATTGAAAGACAAACCAGTACTAATCAAACTCTGCCGGTTCCGAATTCTATTGTTCGCTCTCACGCGCTAGAAATTCTCACATTAATCGAAAGAAAATATAAGGAAATATAGAAAAGATCAAGACCGTAGAACATATTTTGCTTCAGATTATACGTTGTAGATTGCTTTCGTAGGATCCAGGAAACGGACAAGGTTTCTTTCGATTTAGAAAGGGTGAATAGTCAGTTCAGTCCTTCAACTTTTGCTCAGAGGTCGAATTAGTCCTTTATATTTTATAATGTCCAAACAGGACCCTAAAAATTATCATACGGCTTAATATAGTCCTTATACCCACTTAAAACGCCACATGGACATGCCACGTCATTCGTGCATGTAAGATAACATTTAAATGTCCATTTTAACCTTCAATTTTCTATCAAACAAAGAAAAGAAAATAAGAAGAAGCAATCATAAAACAAAAAATGTTATTTTTTTTATCTATCAATGCTACATATTTTTGCCAATGGTCAAAAACTTTTTTTTGTGTGTGTTTTCTCAATAGTTTTTCTTTATTTCCTATAAAAACATAAGGGTGTAAAGGACATTTAAATATTGAATTTACATGCATAGATGATGTGGCATGTACACATGGCATGTTTAGAGGGTCTAAGGACCATATTGAATCACACAATGAACTTAAGGTATTTGTTTGGACAACACGAAATGTCAGGGACTAAATTGATCCTTAAGTGAAAGTTCAAGGATCATGTTGGGTATTCACCCATTTAGAAAGGAAAAAGTACGAATCACCCCCCCCCGAACTATCGCGGTCGTCCGAATTACCCCCCTGAACCATAAAACCGGACATTATTCACCCCCAACTATGCAAACCGGATGAATTACCCCCCTAACCCAATCCGCGGTGGTTTTGGTCTACGTGGCGTATACGTGGCAGTACAGTCAGCATTTTATTTATTAAAAAAATATGGGTCCCACCTGTCATACTCCTATTCCATTATTCCTCTTCCTCTTCTCTCTCACTCTTCCTCTCTCTCTCTTCTCTCACTCTCAACTATGCAAGCAGCGGGCGGAGGAGCTGAGGCGAGCCGCGGAGGAGGCGAGCGCAGTGGCGGAGGAGGCGAGGCATCGGCGAGGAAGGGCCGCGCAGGGGCGGGCGCGAGCAGCGGCTGGGTGGCGAGCGGCGGCGGGGTGCGGCGGAGGAGGCATGTACTATCTTATCCCGAGCCCAACCATTTTCGTCACGACCCAAGCTGGCATGCTGCCATTTGCCACTGTGCACGTCTGCATCGTCCGCCAACGAGCACGTACGACGAGCTTACCTAGCTAGCTGACTGCTCGAGACGTGCGATTTTTACTCCTCGCGGTAAACGATTCTTGTGAAGGCCAGGTCTCCGGCGCTCCATGTAGCCACCGCTCCCTCGCCGATGGTAGTATAGCATGGTGGGGGGTTTAGTGCTCTCCCAGGCGCAGCACCAGGTCGGGATCGCCGCGAGTCGCCGGCGCAGGCGCAAGTGGCGGAGCAGGCCGCCTTCAGGGGAAGGGATCACCGGGCGCCATGCGAGAGCCTGGACGAGGCGAGGAAGGCGCACGCGCGACACGTCAAGCTCGGCGTCGACCGCTCGCTGCGGCACGCGCGGCCGCTCCTCGCGGCGTGCGCGCTCGCCGCCGACTGGCCCGGGAGCATGGCCTACGCGGCGTCCATCTTCGCGGCGCTCGACGACCCTGAGGCGTTCGACTACAACACCCTGACGCGCGACTACTCCGCGTCACCCGCCGCTGCCGCCCCCGCCGCCGCTCTGTCCCTCGCCTGCCACCGCCGCCTCCGCGTCACCCGCCGAGGCCGACGCTGCTCTGTCCCCTGCCTGCCGCCCATGAGAGAGAGGAAGAGTGAGAGAGAAGAGAGAGGAAGAGTGGGAGGAAAACAGGTGGGTCCCATAACTTTTTTAAAAATAGAATTGCTGACTGGACTGTCACGTAGGCTAAAACCACCGCAGATTGGGTCGAGGGGGGGTAATTCGTCCGGTTTACATAGTTGGGGGTGAAGAATGTTTGGTTTTGTGGTTCATGGGATAATTCAGACGACCGTGATAGTTCTGGGGAGTAATTCGTGCTTTTTCCTTTAGAAAACGTATCGGACACTAATTTTGAAACCGTGTGAGACACTAATAAAAGACAGACTAAAAAACCATCATCGTCAGATTCATGCAATCTGAATTGTACACAAATTACATGCCATGGTAATATATAAATAGTACGCCAGAAATCATCTCTCCACAATCCACCGCAACAAAAAAAGAAAGGAAAAAAAGATTGAGTACTATTTATGAAACTCTCTACCAGCCAAAAAGACATCAAAAGGGATCCGACTTTTAGCGATGAAAAAATTGTGAGATAAAAGCAAGTATTTCAGGAAAATAGCAACTAACTGATGCTCTAAAATACCATAGAGCTGAAACGATATCAAA